CTTACCTTGCAGATGCTGGTGTAATCACCGCTCACAGTGGGATGGGGATTAAAAATACAGAAGCAATTTGTGCTGAAGCAAAAATATCTGGGTTTTCCTTTCGGTTCCAAACAGAGCTTTCAAGATTCCCTCTGAAATGACTGTGATGCGCTAGTCTCCGATGGCTGGGTTAATGCTGCTTATAATGTCAAGTGGGCAGTTTTCGCGGAGGGGATGACATACAATACTTTCCCTCTATTATTATTAATAGAAAAGGGGGGCATTCTTTTTCCAGCTTGGAAACAGATCTCTGGGGGGGGGGGGGATGAAAAATGAACCCCTGTCTAAAGGAAGGGTAAATAACAAGGAGTTGAAACTCAGCTCAGCTGTGGAAAGGACGGTTTGGAAAAGTTTGAACGGTTATAAAGCCATCTCAGCCCTTGGCCTGTCTCCTACAATGTCTAAGACTGAATTCTTGCGAGTAGAGATATGCTGGGTAATGCTGCGGTTCGGCTCTTGAATAACTGAATCATCTGTTCTCAGCAGACAGCTCAGCTAAACTAACCTCTCTGGTTTCTAATTCAAAACAAGAGAGCCGATCCTTGGTTTTTGCTGCATGAGATGATTCACACCTAAACCTCCTCTCTGAGCCAAGGCAGGAAGGCTGAGTATAGAGCTCTGCAGGAGACAGGGGACGTGAACACTTGGTGCTGTTAATGTTTGGGGTGTAGGAAATGTGCCCAGGGAGGATGGATTTTTATAGAACAAAATCAAACTTTTGCAGTTTCTGCTTCAAGTTAGATTTTCGCCCTCTTCGTAACAGAACGGCCTGGAGCAGCGTTAACCCTTCAGCTCTTAGCGGTGCACAAGGCTTGTTCTCACATCGCACTCACTGGGCTCAGGGACCGCAGTGGGGTTCTTCAGAGCAACGGGGGCAGGATAGGGCTGTTGCTCTGGGGCTGGAGTAGCTGGGGTTGCTGCTGGCTAGAATGGGGGAATATGGGTGGTTTGGGGAGCTGCAGGTCAGAATGGAGATGCACTGACAGAGCTGTATGGAACAGAGGTTGGGAATAGCAGGGGATGTAGCAGGAAATTGCTGGATTGGACCAGACCAATAATAATACCATCTAGTCTGGTATTATTCTGTCTCTGGTGGTGGAGAGCACAGGGTGTGTCAGAGGAAGGTGCAACCCCCCCCCCCAGTTGACATCTATGCAGTGAGTTGTGCCTAGGGGAAGTTTCCTCCTAACTCCTGACAGTTCATGCTCCCCTGATCATCAGTGTGTCCTAAGCAAGAGCATGCATCCGACAAAGTGGGTATTCACCCACGAAAGCTTATGCTCCAATACATCTGTTAGTCTATCAGGTGCCACAGGACTCTCTGTTGCTTAAGCAGGAGGGTTTATCGTTCTGCCGCCGGGAGTGTAGTTGTCAAAGCCTCACCTGGGGATAAGGGAAATCAAAGTTCCTTCTGTGCTGACTCACAGCCTATTGGAGAGGTGAGTGATGTGTGCGAGGAAGCCAAACGGACCAGAAGAAGAGCTGCCACGTGTGAAGGGGAGGAGATTCATTGGCAGGAGCAGAAATGGGGCTAGCCCAGATGTGTGCCATGCTGCATGTGGGGTCACCTGGATGGCAGAGATGCGAAGATATTTTACACATTGGCCTGTTCTCAGTCCTACCCCATCCCTCCGGGCTCCGTCGCACCCTCATTGATGCTTCTGTCTCCGATTCCTCACTCGGAGCTGGTGATGTCTTGCTGTGCCACTCCTTAGACATAGTTCTTGACGCCTTTCCTTGTGATGGGTCAGTCCTGCCAGCCCAATTGCTTTACCTGTTCTTCTCCCAATCCCCTCCTCGTGTAGCCGGCTGGCTGGGACTCAGCCTCCCAGGTCCTAAAGCAACATCCCAGTCCCACCAGAGCCAGCGAGAGCAGCCACCCTGCCCTTCCCGCAGCATGTGAAGCCCCAAATCACGCTGGGTCACATCTTGGTCTCATGCTGGTGTCAATCAGGAGTAAGCCCACCGGCATTGCCCCAGTAGAGGTAGAATCAGACTCAGACCCTTGGCCATGTTTGCTGCTGTATCCCCCAGCAAGCGCTCCTCTTGCTTGCTCTCCGGTGTCCCCTACAGGCTTCTCCTGGCATTACTGCTCTCCACGCACAGGCCCCTTGACAATGGGCATGTCAAAGGATTCCCCTCCCAGATGCATTGTCACTCATGTCCCAGAGCAAAACGATGCCAGGTTATTTTCTGCCCAAAGCGCTAACTTCTCCAGAGCCTCCATGCTGTGGCGCGGACTCCACAGGTTTCTGTAACACTCCCAACTCTCAGCTGGGTAGTGCAAATGTGATGCAAACCTGGACCTACCACTACTCCCCGTGGCACCTCCCTGTTTGATACGTCTCGGCTTAGCAATCCCTGGCATTATGGTCCTTCAGCTTTACCCCGCAGACTGTTTGGGTGAAAGGCTCAAGGAAGATTTCAAGGAACATTAGTAAACGCCGGATTAAAATCTAGAGAGATTAGCTCGACTGCATTCTCGTGAGGGTTTAATTTGATCGATTCTGGAATAATCAGTTCTTTATTAGCCAGGTGCTCATCCCTCATCCTCTAGGTATGGCTGCGTATTTCCTCTGCTACTTATTTTTTGGGCCATTCTGTTATTTTGGATTGAATTTGTATGTGCACTGCAGTAACTGCCCGGGTGGTTGTTTTCATTTCTGACAATTGTCCCGTATTTTCTCTTTCGTCCCTAGCCCTTTGATACCCCCTTATTAATAAAAATGATGTTTTAGTAGTTGGACAGTGCTTGAACTCATTCCTTTCCCAGCCTTAAATCCATGTTATCTGGACCTGCCAGTTTGTAACAAGTGAATTCATCCAAGTACTGGCAACCAGAGATGAGCCAAAAATGTCATCTGTTATTGGCACTGCCCATACCCCTGGGCTGAGATCCAATGGGATCTGGGTCCAAAACAACCCCTGGTTTGGGGTTTACACAACCACAGCTGATTGCTAAAGGTTTTTGAGAACCGAAGCCAAGCGCTTTGGCCAGTTCCCCTGACCTACTGTTTATCAACAGCCACATCACTGATGAGGCCAATGCTTCGCTCAGTTACACCAGTGCAGCCTTGCAGATTCCAATGGCCTGGCACTGGAGTAACTGGGAGCAGAATTTGACCCAAGGTCTATATTGCTTCCTGGTTCTCCATACCCCTTTTCCTGTTAATGATCAGTTCAGCAGGTCAGACGCTTTGGATGGACTTGATGTTTGCCTCCCTCCTCATAGAGTTATAGAATATCAGGGTTGGAAGGGCCCTCAGGAGGTATCTAGTCCCACCCCCTGCTCAAAGCAGGACCAACACCAACTAAATCATCCCAGCCAGGGCTTTGTCAAGCCTGACCTTAAAAACCTCTAAGGAAGGAGATTCCACCACCTCCCTAGGGAACCCATTCCAGTGCTTCACCACTCTCCTAGTGAAATAGTTTTTTCCTAATATCCAACCTAAACCTCCCCCACTGCAGGGGGTGGAGGGTAATAGGAGCCTATATAAGAAAAAGACCCAAAAATCGGGACTGTCCCTATAAAATCGGGACATCTGGTCACCCTACCTTTTGCATCCAAAAGTTCGGCAGCCTCTGCTCATTGTCCGGAACCTACATTACAATGCAATCCTACCAATCGGTGCTCATTTCTCCGGCCCAGAAGATGCAATCAGCCATGTGGAGCTGCTCTGTGAATGCCAGCAGCGACCTGGCTTTTTTTTCCACTCCGTCCATCAGCCTCCAGTTATCGTGCCTGAACATTTCTTACTCTTCCTCATCGTACCCCACGTTGTAGTAGTACAATGCGTCCAGGTTCTGCAAATACAAGAGAATCACGTGTCCTGTATTAGCAACGCTCATGAGAATCATGCTGAGCTGTGCAGAATCCAGGTTTCTTTCAGAGAGATGGTGGAGTCTGGAAAGCATTGTATGGGACTGTGGGGATTTTAAAAAACAGCATGAAAACTATAGGATGGTATAAGTATTATGGGATGGAGAAAGTATCATGGTGGGAATTTGACTCCTAGCTCCCAGAAATCCCTGGGCAAACCAGTAGCATCCCACAAAGCGCTGAGAAAATGTCTCCCCAGGCATGAGGCACACTGGGATATCTCCCCATCCTGCATCGCTTACCCACTCTGACGTACCACTCACCACGTACCCACTCGCGATGAGGATATGCAGCACATGTGCATGCGGATGAGGGATATACCACAGACGGCGGGCTTTCACTCTCAGTCACCCCCGCAAACAGTCGAGTTCCAAATTGTGACCAGAGCGACCATTGTCATGGGACCAGAGGAATTGTGGGACAGCTGCTGGAGGACTGTTAGGGTTGATACAGGTCATGCAATGCCTACCTCACACTGCATCAACCTAAGATGCCCAACTGTGGCTCTGTGTGGCTCAGGGATGTGGGTACTGGGTTGCTGTTATGGAGCGCTTATGTCGCTGGGAGGCCCATTTTGGTGTAGGCCCATGCACAACTCAGGCAACGCAAATCAACTCGGTCAACCTACGTTTGTAGCAAAGATCAGGCCGCTGAGTCATATTATACTCCTTGTTCCCTGCCCCTGCTCCTGTAAGCTCTCTAGGACTGGAACTGTCACCTGTGTGGTCAGCACCTGATCCCTGCTCTGGGCTCTGACGTGCTAGCCCAGTGTGATCTATAACAGTCACCGCACGACTGGTAAACCCCCTCATAGAATCATAGAATATCAGGGTTGGAAGGGACCTCAGGAGGTCATCTAGTCCAACCCCCTGCTCAAAGCAGGACCAATCCCCAGACAGATTTTTGCCCCAGATCCCTAAATGGCCCCCTCGAGGATTGAACTCAAAACCCTGGGTTTAGCAGGCTAATACTCAAACCACTGAGCTATCCCTCCCCCCGGTGCCGAGAGCTAGCAGACCCAGGCACCTGGGTGGGATGCTGAAACTTTGCTTGTTGCGCTGTAGGTCAGCGTGCTGAGATCATGGCTGCCCACGAGTCTCTCCAGAAGGAAACCTCTGCTAACGAGACCCTGAGATGGATGGATGGCAGGCACCTCAATGGCACCTTCCTCCCGTACTACCAGCACTCTCCAGCAGTGGCAGCTGTCTTCATTGTCGCTTACCTCTGCATCTTCCTCTCGTGCATGGCTGGGAACTCCCTGGTGTGCCTGGTGGTGGTGAGGAACCAGCGCATGCACACGGTCACCAACCTCTTCATCCTGAACCTGGCCATCAGTGACCTGCTGGTGGGCATCTTCTGTGTGCCAACCACCCTCCTGGACAACCTGATCACAGGTGAGAGCCCCCCCCCCCCGGTCAGCCTTCGCCTTGGGGTCCACCAGCTGGGGAGGGCGTGGGCTGGTGGCGCAGAGAGGCAGAAATCTCACAGGTCTCAACAGCCATCACCTTCTTTAAAGTCCTGCTTGGATCATGACCTAGTAGTCTTTGCGTCTTCCAGCTCCAGGGCACAATTTAGGGTCTTTCTCCAGGAAGAGAAAGCCAAGAAGTGCTGCCTGACCCTGGCCGATAAGTAAGAGACGACATCTGCTAGCAGAATGCGCTTCACTCCAGTTGACAACCACAGAATGAGATCCAATTGCTGGCAGGTGACTCTAGACAAACCAGAAATCCGGCTCAGTTTTGTAACCGTAGGGGTAATTACCCAGGGGGATTCTCCATCCCTTAAAGTCCTTCAGTCAAGGCTGGATGCTGTATAAAGGATAGGCCCTGGTTCGAGCACAAGTGTTTGGGCTTGATGCAGGAACCTCTGGGTGAAGTTCTGTGGTCTGTGATATGCAGCAGGGCAGACTGGGTGATCTGCTGCTCCCTTGTGGCTTTGACGGCTACCGATCTATGAAAACTCAAAGCTTCAGATGTAAACCTTCCGGCGGGTGAGGCTTATTTCAGGGTTGCTTGGCAGTGCGTACACAGCTGGGGACAGACCGCCTGATGCTGCAGACTCATTGGAAGGGAGATGGCCAGGCTAGTGGGGGGAGGCATTGCCAATCTTTTGACATGGGGGTGGGTGGTGCACGTACCTCCCAGAGCAGGATGGGAGGGGCAGAGTAAAGGGGATTTCAGGAGGCACAGCTATTCAAGCTTCTCTTTTGGATGGAGACGTTTGTCTGTGCTCCTATGAAGGTGAAGGCTGCTAGAAGTGATCTTAGACCTCATGCTTTAACCGTCTGGGTTCGTCTGAGTCCAGGAATGTGAGACTCTGGGGTATGAACTGGTGATGTGTTTTAACAGGAAAGAACAAGAGCGAGGCAGGCCAGGCACAAAGGCAGCAATGGACTACACGCTGCCGACCAGCACTTGTTCTCAGTAGAAAGAGGAACTTGAGTCCAACTTTGGTTCTGTTTGCATCCCATCTGAAGAGCCAGCCAGCCAGGCAGAGGTAGCTGCACCTACTCAGGGCAGTGTCTTCAACTGCAAACTGCCACCATGCATCAGGTGGTTTCAGAATGTGCACTGCTGCCTGCTAGTGGGGTCATGGGGTTAGAGTCGGATGCTATTGAAGACGATGGAGTCTAGTGTTCAGAGGGCAGGGCTAGGAGCCAGGGCTCCCGAGTTCTATTCCTGGCACTGCCACCAACTTGGGTGTGTCACTGGGCACTTCACCCTCCGTGCCGCTTTCCTCTGCTGTGAAATAGGGATGATAATACCTCCTCCGGAGGGATGGTTTGAGGCTTAATGAACAAATGTGGGTAAAGCACTTTGGAATCCTCAATGCAAGGTGCTGCAGCATCTACAGGCCCGAGCGCAGCACAAGACAGATTTGCTATAGGCATAGGGGCATTGGCATGGCCTCGCCGTCCCATTGCCTTCACCTGGGCATGCCGATGTGCTAGGCACCGACGGCACTAGCCATGCCATCTTGCTGGCTATTCTGTGAGTTCCCATTCACCTATCCCACTGCTGCTGCAGGGTGAAGTGCTCCCTAGTGGTTAGAGTGTGGTTACGCTGCTAAAAGCAGCTCCCCTGTGGCTGGGTAGTTTATGCAGCTGTATTTTGTTCTCTTCAACAGCCACAGGAAACCAGTCCAATTCCTGAACTGGATGGCTGCCCCCCCCCCCCAGGAGACTCCCAGCCAGGCCTTGCCCTGGGTGCGGCTTTTGTGGCTAGGCTGAATCTCGGCCCTCAGGCCTTGCTCCATGTTTGACTCTACTTTTGCTAAGTCCTTGCTCAGGCAAACTTCCATGGGCTTCGCGGGATTGAGGCCCTTAGGCCTGGGCCCTTGGCAAGTGCCTCTGCGGTTAATTTGAGCACATGAGCACGGCTGGCTCCCCACCCTGAGTCTGTCGCTCATTCATTACGCCTAGCTCTGTAGCCCAGGGGGGCTGCGTTCCCGAGGATAGGAATGGTGACCTGACACCCCAGCATGTAGATCCAGCTCCCACCATCTCGGCAGGGCAGTAGTGGGCTCTAGCCATGGGCCAAAGTGAAAGAGCTGCTTCCGCAGCGCTGTTGCTAGGACAAGGGACCCTGAGAATGGCGTAGAGGTAGCCCTGCCGCCGAGGCCAGGGACGACGCTCACTTGCCCGTCTGTGTTAATCAGGGCCCACGTGGCGAGGGTGAGGGTCGGGTGAAGCCTTTGGCTTGTCTGCGAGAGCCGAAGTCCCCGCCCTAGGAGCGTGAGGGGGGAAAGTGCGAGTTTTTACTCCTCCTGCTCGTTCACGCTGGCTCCGTGTGTCTCTGCAGGCTGGCCCTTCAACCAGGTCGTCTGCACCATGAGTGGCCTTGTCCAAGGATCGTCTGTCTCGGCCTCCGTTTTCACACTCGTGGCCATCGCCATGGACAGGTGAGCTTCCTGTGGTCTCGTCATTTTGATCCGGCCCGTTATAGAGCTAAGAAGTTTTGATCTGAGGTGAAGATGAAGGAACTCAATGTAGCTTATTGACGAGAAGGTCCAGAGGTGACTTGATCGCTGTCTATAAGTATATTGTTAAGTATTTGTTTACCATGTAGATACTTACAGACTGTGATCATCAAATCATAGAATATAAGGGTTGGAAGGGACCTCAGGAGGTATCTAGTCCAACCCCCTGCTCAAAGCAGGACCAATCCCCAACTAAATCATCCCAGCCAGGGCTTTGTCAAGCCGGGCCTTAAAAACCTCTAAGGATGGAGATTCCACCACCTCCCTAGGTAACCCATTCCAGTGCTTCACCACCCTCCTAGTGAAATAGTGTTTCCTAATATCTAACCTAGACCTCCCCCACTGCAACTTGAGACCATTACTCCTTGTTCTGTCATCGGCCACCACTGATAGCCTAGATCCATCCTCTTTGGAACCCCCTTCAGGTAGTTGAAAGCAGCTATCAAATCCCCCCTCATTCTTCTCTTCTGCAGACTAAACAAGCCCAGTTCCCTCAGCCTCTCCTCGTAAGTCATGTGTTCCAGCCCCCTAATCATTTTCGTTGCCCTCCGCTAGACTCTCTCCAATTTTGTCCTCATCTTTTCTGTAGTGCGGGGCCCAAAACTGGACACACTACTCCAGATGTGGCCTCACCAGTGCCGAATAGAGGGGAATGATCACATCTCTCGATCTGCTGGCAGTGCTCCTACTAATGCAGCCCAATGTGCCATTAGCCTTCTTGGCAACAAGGGCACACTGCTGACTCATATCCAGCTTCT